GATTTGAAATTTTTTAGTTTTAACGATAGTAATAAAATAAAGAGTAAAGTGAATAGTACCATGATTGACTTTTTAGTGTAAAAATATGATTTTTCGTTAAAATGAACAGTACTGAGAATTTTTCGTTAAAGTTTCATTTATTTAATTGCACAAAATTAACCACATTGCTGATAGTCTGACATAATTTCTAATATACATAAGTGTCGGATAGAATGGAACGGTTGATCTCACCTTTATTAATAGAGCGTGTGTTAGTGATATGATCAGTTTTGTGTCTTTAGAAGAGTATCGTTTTAGTAATAAACCCCAAACAACAATTCTTTTTGGTCATTTCATTCACAATGATTGTAAATAATTAGCTCATTTGGAAGTGTTTTTAAAATGATTGAAAATACTTATGGTGAAATGTTTTTAGAATCAATCCTTGGTAAAAATGGAAGTGAATTTTCAAAAAACACATAAAGTGTTTTCTGCAATAAACACCAGTTATGTGCTTTTTCAAAGATGATTCACTTTAAGAGTTTTTTTAATCCAAAAACATTTTCGCTAAAAATTCAGTTATTTTAAAAGCACTTTTAAACAAGTCATATGATTAGAGTTGTTTTAACTTTGGAGGGGTTTGAGGAAGAATAAAGGAGTGAAATGAATTGCAAGTGAAGTAATCGAACTTCTGAGTTTATTAACAGTTTGAAGGAAGAATTTTTGCTAAATATGGTCAAAAGTGTTAGAATATGTGTAGTTGGGGAATTTGCTTTTTAAAATGCTAAATTAATTTTCTCTGTAAATGATCATTATCTCTTCCTTCAACTTGTGATTGAATATTTGATTTCCAATTGCTTCGTTCGATCTGTTGTTCTTGTCGAAGAACATCACATGAATTTGCCTTTACAAAATCTGAAAAGTGGGTGAATATAAATATCTGTCTGCTGTAGTGCATTGATATATTCCTTCCTGCAGCATATTATGGCAACAGCTAGCATCTTGCATAAAAACCTTATGCAAACATTATCACATCAAGGGTGTCGACCGTATGAATCTTCGAACGTCCAATGCACTTGATTTTGTCCCAAATCTTTTGTTAGCATCAAGTACTCCATATCTTTTCTTAAATCTCTTCCTAAGTTTTCTTAAGTCTTCCTCTACTACTTTTAACCCAAGTTTCCCTCTCGTATTTAGTCACATCTTCTAACTGAAGCATCTATAGGTCTTCAGTTCATGTGTCAAAACCATCTTAACTGACCATCTTAACCGATAACGTACAGATGCTCCGATTAGAAAATACGACTATACAATGTCAAATTAACCAAAAACTCTCTCGCGATTCATATAACTAAGCCGCTTGGCACACACTATCACACGTCTGAGTAGGGTTTTCTGACCAAGTGTATTTCTATTAGATGAAAGAATTTAAACAAGTTATAACTCTATATATGTTATCATGCAGTGATAATTAAAGAACTAAGTTTTGTTAATGAATGGTATCAAGGGAATAATTTGGAGTATTGATCAATGTTCTGTTCATTGAAGGAAGGAAGGAATGTTTGATATGCTCTTTCTATTTGTAGGTTAGAGAAGGCAAATTTATATTAAAATGCATTTGTTTTTTGCTACATGGTCATACCAATTTGACTAGACCAAGATCAACTTCAAGATTGGAAAACCTTTTTCAATTGTATATATAGGAAATTATTAAAAATACTTTTATCTTTTTGGTTCGTAATTTAAAATTTTGGCGTCCAATTGTTCATGAAAGCCAAAATAAATTACTAGAGAAGGTCGTGGATAGTAATAATTGTAACTAAGCTGATCGAAAATTTTGATTTGAAACGCTGAGAAACTAGCGATTATTGAGATCTTCTAGGGTGTAAATAGAAGACTTACATTTAGCTACGCCTCTTAAAATTTGGTTTTAATCTCATTTTGTCTTTTGTAACTCAAAAATTATAATTTTACTTCTGAAATTCAAAATTCGTTCTACTTTGACTTTGGACTGTCTCTTCTCCCTAAAACTCAAAAGTTGACTGTTGAAACATACGTGAGACCCACCACCCAATAAGACTATGCCACATGTGCCAATAAATTTGATTATAAATCTCTACTATGCATTAGCCTTCAACAATTTAGAAAATATTAAGTTTAAAAGAAGAAATTAAGAATTGAAATTTTTTGGGTTGTTGAGTTGCAGAGATGAAAAAAAATAAAAAAGAAATTGATTAGTCTAGTGCACCCAAACCAAACTCACATAACGGAATTAACATAACTAAGGCAATATGGAGTGAATTTTGGGTTTTGTAGAGTAAAATGACGTATTTTGAGTTTCAAGAGACAAAATGAAATTAAAATTGAGTTCAAATGGGTAAAGTGGAGCGGATTTTGAATTTCAGAGATTAAAGTAACGACTTTGAGTTACAAGGAGTAAAGTGAGATTAAAGTCGAGTTTTAAGGGGCGTAGTTAAAATTAAGCCTAAATAGAATAGAGATTGCCAGGTCTAATAGAGAGTATAATTTAGGGGGTTTAACTATAAAAAAAAATAGAAAATTTTATTTTAATCCTTAAAAAAGATGAGTTTTAGACTATAACCTTGTGTAAGATTAAAATCTAATTGTAGTCCCTAATACATTTAATCATCTCATTTATTAATTATATTTTGATGTTTTTCCCTATTTTTAATGTATTAATTACATTTAATATTCATTTCATTCATCATAATATATTTTGATGTCTACATTTAGGTAAACTAATTTTTTTTATATAATATATTCCGATACAATTTGTATAATATTTCATTTAAGTACATTAATTCATTTGATATACTTCGCCGTATATCCATTGATACAAATATATAATACATTTCGGTATGTAAATTTTGGTACATTAGTTCAATATAATACATTTTGATACATACATTTCGATATTGACATTTAGGTACATTAATTCAATATAATATATTTCGGGACATACATTTAGGTTCATTTATATAAAAAAAAATTGTCAAAAGATAGAATTGTTATATTAGATGTTAGATTAGTCACCAGCGGGATTTGAACTCACGCCATCATGCAAGCGCTCAACACCTTTTCACCAATGTGGTAAAGGTTCACTTGCTTATGTTCATTTATAATTGAAAGGACTAATATGTGGGGACATTAAATAAAAATACACCTTAAATAACAAAAATAGAATATAAATTTTAATAAAAGTACACGTTAAATGATTAAATTGAATATGTAATCTAGGACAAGGTTTTTTTAAAATTCTAATCTTTTGCAAGGACTAATGTTCAAAAACTCAAAAAAAAAAATGAGTTTATCTGGTGAAAAAGAAAGAAGAATTATTTAAGGAATAAAGAAACAGAAATATGAAAATGAGATTAAACTATAGAGTAATGGTAAGGAGACAAAAAAATTTAAATCAAATTACAAACCAAATGATGTGTCACTAATAAGAAACAAGCATGTTAATCAACACTTAATTAATAATCCAATCATCTCCAACTACATCATTTAGTTTGCAAATTTGATTTAAAAAAATTTGATCTTCCTAGCATTACTCTAAACTATAATTACCCCTGTTATATATACTTGAAACTTTTCTATCAACGAAAAAAAAAAATTGAAACTTGTAAGGAAAAGTTATATTTCTCACAAAGGGTGCATAATTCAGACCAAGAACTAGGAAGTTGGTCTAGTCAGGCTAATTAAAAATTGGTCTCTAAACTCTATTGGTAATGTCTTAATCTTTTAAAACATTCCAAATAATTATCCAACGTTTTGAAAATTGGATATTTGTTAGGTTCACTAGCGTTTATGTGGACAATTATTAGGTTCACTAGCGTTAAGTGATGACGTGAACAATTATTAGAGCAGATTTTTACTCTCAAATCAATTATGGAATTTTGAATTTCTAAATTGACGCAGTTTAGTTAAGCAAATTTATGACTTAACTTAGCTAAAAGGATTCGATTTGGGCTCTAAAGACAACAATTAATAAAGACCAGCTTTAGTATTTGTCCAAAACGTTAGTAGTGACCAACGTATTATTGGTGAAGTCATCACTTAACACCGATGATCTAATAAATGTTTAATTTTTACAACGTTAAGAAGTCATTTGGAATGTTTTAAAAGCTTGAGACTAATTAAAAATCACCCCAAAAATTGGGTAGTTCTCTGTACTTAAACCATTTTGCTTATTTTGAGTTTTTTTTTTCCGTGAAACTTCATCGAAGCACATCTTATTTTGTCCAGTTCAAAAGAAAAGTAATTATTTTGGGTTTAACACATGAAAGTGGTTAAACGCCGGGAACATAAAAGGGCCCAGGGTTTTAAAAACTTGTATCTTCTTCCTCCTCCTTGCTCCCGCAGCGATTGCTTTCCCCAGTTGCTGCTTCTTCTCAAGCAGATTTCAGTTGGGAAAATGGGTTCCGATCAAGGGTTTTTTCAGCGTCTGGATGGGCAACTGTCCTTGCCACAACGTGCATCTGCCCCTGTATCCATATATCGTTTCAATTTTATCGGATGTCATTGATCCAAAGAACATATTATTCTGTTATTTTCCTCGTACATGTTTTGTGAATAGGATAAACGGCGGGAAAAGTATGGTTAGTTATAACTAATAAGCAATTACAACACATGAATTAAGGATATGCCAATTAGGTACTTAAGATGGTTGATCGTACGTAGTTGTCCTGTTAGCTAACTGCAATCTAATAGAAATGACCTGTGGATGCGACGGAAAACTTACACAAAATGATTTCGTTAAAACTTTTACTTTCTATCTTTATCATCACGTGAAACCATGTCTCTCTCATCATGTGAAACTGGATGACCGCACACGAATGTAGTGTCGTAGAGGGTGTTCCATTGGGTCCTTTCCTCACATTTTAGTCAGAATGTCAACCGTTAGAAGAAGATGGTTCTCCACCTTCGACGGCTCTAAATTTAGACAATGTTTTTTTCTATAAAACACAAAATTTTCACAGCAAAAACCAAGCCAATACAGTATTAGTATTGCAGTCAACTTAGAATTTTTTTTTTTAGTTCAATTAATCTTTTTCTGGCAAGGTCTAGCTGAGCTGAATCTGATCCCGGTGAAAATCTGGGCTCAATCTCATAGACCTTGACCACTTCTAGAAACATTGTTCTAAAAAAATTATAAAAAAAAGTAGAAAGAAAATACAAAAAATGGTTCTTGGACCAATGGCATCGAAGCTCAATTTGGTCCTCTTTATGATTTCTTTCTGCATGCTGGTTCCAAGCTTGAAGGCTGAGACAGCAAATGACACCCTCAACATTGCTAACTTCGATGCCGTATGGCAGGAACGAGCCATGAAAGCTCAGAAGGCAGCCCTCAAGGCCTACCAACCCAACCCGGAACAAGTCACCGAGGACTTCAACGAAAGCGTTGAACAGTACGTAAACTCGACATTTTATCCTTAATTCTCTTCAAATTTTGTGTATTCCTTCCCAATGTTTGTATCATTTCATCTGAATACATACTTTTAATAGAAAAACGACGATAATCAGTTAAATGATACAAATAGTAGCGCTCGAAATTAATCGTGCATGATGATAATGTGGGGTTTTTAACGTTCACATTGTACATATATACGTCTCTTTATTAAAAGCGAGACGAGACGATAATTAGTTAGATGGTGCATATATCATTATTCGAAATTGATCATGCATAATAATGCGGGACAAATAATATTCATCTTGTATATACACGGTTTCGGTAATCAATCAATTAAATGCTACAAATAGCAGTGCTCTTAATCGACCATGCATGATAATGCAGGACCGTCGTTGAGGAGGACCTTGAAGATGATCAGTCTGCCGGTAACAGCACAAGGAGGAATCTGAGAGGAAAACATTACAAGGGCCCTTGCAAGGCCACAAACCCGATCGACCGCTGCTGGCGGTGCCGGGCCAACTGGGCTAACAACCGCAAGAAGCTGGCCAGCTGCGTGAAAGGCTTTGGCCGCAAGACGCGCGGAGGCAAGAAAGGGGCTTACTACATTGTCACCGACTCTTCGGACGACAATGTCCATGACCCTAAGCCCGGAACCCTACGGCACGCCGTGATCCAAACGCAACCGTTGTGGATCATATTTGCACGCAGCATGGTCATCAGGCTGAGCCAAGAGCTCATAGTAACGAGCCACAAGACAATTGACGCACGAGGGGCAAATGTGCACATTGCTCATGGCGCAGGGATCACACTCCAGTTCGTTCAGAACGTGATTATTCATGGCCTCCGCATCCACGACACCGTACCAGGCAGCGGTGGTATGATCAGGGACTCCCTGAGTCACATCGGGATTCGCACACAGAGTGACGGAGATGGTATCTCCATTTACGGGTCGTCTAACATTTGGCTCGACCATCTTTCTATGTGGAATTGCGCGGATGGGCTCATCGACGCCATTCAAGGGTCTACTGCTATTACCATATCCAACTGCCACTTCACCCATCACAACGACGTACGTTTATTTATTTAATAATAATCGAACGGAGATGTTATTAACATAACAAAATAAGATAACAAAGAATGACTAATTGGTTAAACGAATGGTGCAGGTGATGCTTTTCGGGGCTAGCGATGCGTTTGCAGGGGATGCAATCATGCAAATAACGGTTGCGTTTAACCATTTCGGCAAGGGATTGATACAGAGAATGCCAAGATGCAGATGGGGATTTGTCCATGTCGTGAACAATGACTACACACATTGGATCATGTATGCCATCGGAGGAAGCTCTCACCCCACAATTATCAGCCAGGGCAACCGATTCATCGCCCCACCAAACCAGGCTGCAAAAGAAGTACATAGACGAACACAATATTATCAGTTAATACATAGGCACGAACACATAATTAATCAAGTGATGTATTAATTTTGTGACGTTTGAATTTATAGGTGACGAAGAGAGACTATGCACCGGAGAGCGTGTGGAAGAGCTGGCAATGGAGATCAGAAGGAGATCTTATGATGAATGGAGCATTCTTTGTTCAGTCTGGAGTGCCGAACAAGAAGCATGGATTTGGCAAGTTAGACATGATCAAAGCAAAACCAGGCACATTCGTCAGAAGGCTCACACGCTTTGCAGGTTCTCAACTGCAAGGTTGGCAAGAAGTGCTAGAACAAAAATAGAAGAGCTAACTATAATCAATAGCGATCAAATGGATAGGCGGCTGGCCGATGCCGGGAGGTGAAGTGTGACAAATGAAGAGGAAGAAGCGGCAGTGATGTGCGGAGAAATGTGGATATAGATTCTATACTTGATTGTTTTTATTTGTGTTTATGTATTAACAAATCCAAGGGTTATATTGTAGTAATATTTACACCCTAAGCAAATAATGCCAGTACAAACGGCGGTTTTTAATTTTGAGAACTTTAACGAAAAACTCCAGGTATTATTCATTTTAACGAAAAATCACATTTTTACATTAAAAAATCAATCATAGTACTATTCACTTTATCATTTATTTTGTCCTTATCGTTAAAACTCAAAGTTTTCAAGCCTTTTTCATTAGTTTTCTTTTTAATTTTTAGAGTAAGTTGTAGCAATGGTCACTCAACTAAAAATTTATTACCATTGGTCCCTCAACTCATCAAAATGTGCAGCAATGGTCCCCCAACTAAAATTTCGTTACCCTTGGTCCCTCAACTTTAATACAACTAGATAAATGATCCCTCAACTTTAACCTAATTGGAGCAATGGTCTCTCAACTTTAACCCAATTGTAGCAATGGTCCTTCTAACATAACTCATTTTGACAAAATTCTGACGAAGTTGACGACAATGATCATAACTACACGTTTTGATGAATTGAGGGATCCCAATTGTAGCAATGATTCTTCCAACATAACTCATTTTGATAAAATTCTGACGAAATTGATGAAAATGACCATAGCTACACATTTTGATAAGTTGAGGGACCAATGGTAATGAATTTTTAGTTGAAGGATCATTGCTCCAATTTTATTAAAATTGAAGGACCATTGATACAATTTACTCTAATTTTTAATTTTTTTTTTTGTGTTTTTTATATTTTTCTTTTGTAGCAAGAAATGTATATAGCTCAATTCATCTCTAAATAGTTATATTGTCTTTCAATTTGTTTTAATGAAACAGAAAATTACTTTATAAAAGAATAAGATTGTAGATAATGGAGCGATATCGCCGGCTGTCGTTCGTGGCAACACTACCGTTTTCAAGTAAATTAGAGTTGAAAGTACGAGTGCCTTGAAAGAAACTGTAGTTTTAGATTCATAGTTGCAAGAAAATGTTTTTGCTCATCACCGTCATAGTGAAGCTCACCACCGTAAAATGATATTAATGCTCACCACCCTATTAATTAATGTTGGATAAGTATGATATGAATTAACCAAAAATAATTTAGGCAAATCATAAATGAGGGCCTAACTATGTTGCACAAGCACGGCTAGGACACGACAATTAAAATTTAATAAATATTACATATATTAAAAATAGTACTTCGAATTCATAATATAACAAAATATTCATGCTAGATGCTGCACATAAGATTAAAGAGAGAGGACTGAGGTTAGGTTGAAGTCATGAATTCTTTTAGATTTTAGTTTTTATATTTCCAAAACTGCCCCAAAATGTTCTTTTTAAATTTACCAAAAAGACCCCTATCGTGTCTTGACCGTGCCCAAACCGTGTCTGGACCATGCCCAAGGCACATCGGCATGTCCGATACTCTACTACGGGGGGTTTTGGAGTGTCCGTGCATCTAGGGGCCTAATCGACAAATTCACTAATCGGACGTTTGTGAAAGAAAACGGAGAGACCATATTTCCTGTGAAGTTCAGGCGTTGCAACAACATCATAGGCAACGGCGGCCACCGCCACTGCCGCCTTCGATTTCAATGAATGAAGATTGAAATGAGGGTTGAGATGGGGACTGGATGCAGTTCTATTAATGGTGAAAGAAGCTAATCATATTTTTCTTAAACCTTCCTTAAACTTAAAGACAACATGATACAAGCATGCAAGACACAATACTGGAAACTCGGAGTCTTGGCACGAAAACGGGTTTTTTTATGCCTAATTAGGTCATCAAGTATAATGCTAACCAAACATTGTATAAATAAAATACATAGATGCATGAAAGAAACTAATGTAGATCCTACCGATGTGCCAGAGCCAACGGAAACACTACACGGCGAACCAAAAACTGGCTTGTTCCATTTTCTACCTTAATTTATGCACTTTCAATCAGATTCATTCCCCGAATCTATGTTCATGGGTTGGGGGTTCTTGTAACCACTGATTTCATCCTTGTAGCGTTCTTTATCTTGACGAGCCTTTGCTTCATATGGCTCCTTTTCCTCCGCTGAAAAACGGAAAACATGACACTAAGTAATTCGCAGAAATTCATCATACTGTGGAAGCACACAAGATGTAATTTAGTCGAATCACGTATACCTGACATCTTTTTCCACTTCTCTCCGAGTACTCTCCCCACATCAGTAAATGCAATTCCAGGGTTCTCTCTCTTTACATTCTGTGGTCAACACAAATAAGGTCAATAATTTCCTTCAAAACATCAATAAAGAATCTGAACCAATTATTTGAAGTATTGTTCCATTCCCAAACCAAAAGTTAGAACCAATCGACAGAACTTAAAACACTCACATCTCTCTCCATGTTTGAGAAGAACATAAAACCAGACATTGCTCTTTTCGGCGCATTTGGATCCTTTTTCTTCTTCTGTTTTTTCTTCTTTGAACCATCTTCACCTGCATCTTTGGTTTTTTGTTTCTTTGAAGATGATACCTTGGAAGTTGAAGGTTCCTTTCTAGACTCCTTTTTTGCAGGCTTCTGAAATTGACAATTCATGTTACATTGACCCTTCTTAAAATTATTAGGCCAACAAAATTACTAGAAATGACTTGCCTCTTTTTCACCTCCACTTTCACTAGCATCTGAATCATCCTCCCCAGAGTCATCGGTAGGAGAACCTCCATCGTCCTTGTCAATAACAAAATCTTCATCCTGCGAAAGTTCACACATTTAGACTGGAATATCACACGACACATGTCAACACAAAAGCGCACTTGCAGAAACACACATACGGATGCATGAAACAACTAGGACTAACCACAATTAAAGCGTGCTTTGAGGAAAACAGTCATGACATTACCATCCAAAAAAAAAAGATGATCAAAGTACAAACCACACAATTAATGTATGTTTTAAGTTAAGTGTGGATAAAGTTTCTATTACAAGTGTACATAAGTGTCCTGTTCACAAACATCCACTTTTACAAACTACAGAAGAACTTTCAGCATTTTACAGATCAACGAAGAATATACATAACAATAAAAGGTCATACCCAGTGCACAAGGCTCCCGCTTTACGCAGGGTCTGGGAGAGGTGAATGTCGGCTAGCCTTACCCCCATTTATGGAGAGGCTGCTCCCAAGTCTCGAACCCGAGACCTACCGCTCATGGGCGAAGGCACTTGCCATTGCACCAAGTGCGACCTCTATATATAACAATAGGAGAGAAAAATCCAAGTAGTTTGTAAAACTGTCCTAATAGTGCAACCCATGAAATTTTCAATCCAATGAGAATCAGACCAAAAATAAAAACACAAGTAACATAATAATATAGGATAGATGTTCCACCTCTTCATCACTCTCATCATCACCAGCTTCATTCTTCACACGAACAAGATGTGGGTCAACAGCATCATCATCTGCGTCATCAAGAAGAGGAGCCACACCACCATTTGCTGCTTGGCCCTCTCCTAAGTTCATGATTTTGAGACCCTTTGAACTGCACATGATGAGTGGCCAAAAGGTCGAATTTTAAAATCCACAGCATCATTGACCTACTATGGAAAATAACCAGTACGCATTACCAACCTGATGAAGTCAAAAAGATTATGATATTCATTCCTCTGAATGTTTCGGAACAGGTGTTCTTGCTCACTTTTGAGTCTGATGAGAAGATCAAAATAGTGCATATTTGAGCCTCCAGCACCATGCCTCTCAAATTCCACATAGTCAATCTAGTAACAGAAGCACCAAGAAGAAAAAGGGTGATGTTCCACTTATCAATCAGGTTACTGTTATACCAGCACTATAATATCGATCGAATGCATGTAAATTCTACCTGATCGTGAAGAATAAGGGTGGGAGGTTTTGGTAGGAAAAAGAAGCTCTTCTCAAGAGGATATAGAACTCCATCTTCAGCTTTCAGTGAAGATTTGACAGCATAACCATCTTGACAGCTGCGGAATTTTCCTGGTTTCGTAACTTTGGCACCAGACAAGCCACGCAATATTGTGGTGAACACTTCATGCATTAGTCCCTGTTTATCATACATCAAAGAATTACGGCAGCACATGTCAATTAGCACACTGTTTCAAACAAATAAAACAGCTGTTTGCTAGATTACAATCTTCAGGAGAGTCGAAGGTATTATCTACCTTATAAGATAGTTCTAACTTGTCCTTGTATTTCGTGTTCAAAAGTTCTTCACTCATTGTCAGTTCGGTTTGATACACAAGGTCAGTTTCAAACTTCAAAAGATAGAAGAAGTCAATTGAAGGAAGCATTTAAAAAATCAAACAGGTGATCAACAAGGCAAAGAAACAAACACTACCTGCAAAACAATATGCGGGTACAATGTTTGGCCTTTACGGATAGGAGGATCAAGAGTGACAACAACAAAGGTATGAGGCTGGTTAGACTGCAGAAACAAAGATGAATCTATTAAAGATATGCCAAAGCCACAAAAACTAGTTCCAGGAATGGAGTAATTAGAACACCAATAGTCCTATTAGCTCTTGAAGAGAACTCCCTAATGTGCATGGAACTATGTGATAGGTACTCAGATAATTATGTATAACAAAAGCTTTAAAAGTATAACAAGTGAAAAACTAATTATTAGAGCCCAAGATAAGAATGAAACCCTAGGAAGTAGAAACAGACGAACAACACTGCTGTACTGAATTTTGAAATCATTAGCCCCTTGAAGCCGCAAGAATGAAAGATGAAGTTCCACGCTGTAGCGACCCCTATATTAAACAAGTACTTCCGTTAGCCTGGCATTTCACATGGAAAGAAACCCATGCGCCAGCATATGACATATGCACATAATCTAATAAATACAGATGGTGCATGTTCCCATGAGAGTGTGGATCGATGTAGGTGCACTATCCCTGGTATTTTCATTAATATGTACCTTGGTGTGAGGATTGCAATGCTATCAAATGTGGTAACAGCATCTTCACCTCCAGCACCAACATCTGCCATTGACATGATTTTGTCACGAAAAACCTACATAATATTCAATTAGAAAAGATCAATAAATCAATTGCAATCAATGAAAAAAATGACCTACAAAACTATTA